CCCATGAAGATATAACTTACATGAACAGATGAATCATTGTTCCTCAAATTAAAAATTCCCACATACTCCTCTTCATACTCCTTCTTCCTCTCATAATCCCTCTAATACTCCTCCTTATCAAAATCCCTATTCGACTCCCACTCCCCTCCCTTTCAAAATCCCAATTACACTACCCCCTTAAATTCCACCCCACCAAAAGCTAATAATTGGTCTTGGTAAAAAAAATCAGTTCTCTTGTTACAACATAGAAAGCTTGCACAAGCAATTAATTATTCATGATCTATATATGTATTTTACTCAGGAACCAGAGGTAAGGGAACATTAAGAACAGAAATCACAAGTCATCGAACATTAAACAACAGGAACCCCAAGTTAGCGAACATTGAACAGCAGAAACCAGAGGTAAGAGAACATTTAACAACAGAAACCACAAGTTACCGAACATTTAACAACAGAAACCACAAGTTAGCAAACATTAAACAATAGAAAACAGAGGTAAGAGAACATCTTACAATAGAAATTACAGGTTGGCAAACACTACACAACAGAAACCACAGGTTGGAGAACATTAAACAGCAAAAACGAGAGCTAAGGGAACATTTCAGAAAAGAAATTAAAATTTAGGGAACATTAAACATTAATAATCAATGGTTACCCAGAAAACAGAAGTGGATGACGACTTTTTGAATCCAATATATTCCCAGTCATCAACTTGGTGAAATTGGGGTGCATAAACTTCACTTAAATTCGACTTTTTGAATCCCAGTTTTCACCGAGTTAGGGTGAAAACTGGGAGTTCAAATATCCACTTTAAAACTCCACTTTAACCCAACTTAAACGCCACTTTTGAAATCCACTTGTCAACTGGGTGAAATCTGGGTGAATAAACTCGACTTAAACTCAACTTTTTGAACTCAATATTTTCCCAGTCATCAACTGGGTGAAATCTGGGTGCATAAACTTGACTTAAACTCGACTTTTTGAATCCCAGTTTTTACCAAGTCAGGGTGGAAGAAGAACATTTAACAACAGGGGTCAGAGTAGGGCTGGGCGTCGATCCTGGTTTTCGATCGTTCTTTTAACGAACGGAATTTTCAAGAACGATTCCGAATAAAAAGAACAAACACGTAGAATGCGTTCTTAAAAATATTGAAACGATTATTAAAATAACGAACGTGGAACGAACGAAAATTGCTTGAAAAGACCATTAAAATCAGGAACGCATTCTTATTATCAAGAACGCGTTCTAAGTCGGGAACGCATTTTAAATGAGGAACTTGCTGTGGTGTACGAGGGAGGGGGCTGGGTGCACGCCCCCCCCCCTACGCAGGGATTACAAACTAGGAAATAGGGACTAGGGATTAGGAATTAGGAACTAGGGATTAGGAACTGGCTGCTAGGGATGAACGACTAGAAATAGTTTTTATGTTTAATGATATCAAACCCGGCCCTGAGTCTTGTTAAGTAATATATTTTCCATTTTGGTTGTATTGTTAGGCAACCTCTGGGTTTTGGTATATCCATAGAAACTCCAGGTTGTGGTATTATGTTATATACCTAGATAGAACCCATTCCACCATGAGAACTAGGGGGAGTAGGATCATAGCCTAGAACCTTCTAACTCAGCATGATTATCAGGAATAATGCTAGTTTTACTAATTGAAATCATAATTTTAATTCTATAATTAATTCCTCATAAAACGGTCCACTCATAATACGCTACCTCATAAAACGGTACACTCATAAAACGCTACCAGATAAAACTCTAAGAAAGAAAAAATAAAACGCTATCTCTATCATTTTAATATTTCCATGTTTCACATATATTTTTAATTTTAATTTTAAACAGAAAACTGTTTAAGAATAAATTATCTTTTTACGTGCAATATCTTTACTTTGCAAATATATACATTTTTATCACTCTCTAGTGTCGAACTATAAAATATGGAAAGAACTATAGAGAAAAAAAATCTACATTGTTTATAGGTCATATAAACTTTTCGACATTGCACAATGCACATTTTACCTAATTTAATGCTTCTCCTGCATCTTTAGTATCAGATTTTTGTCTTTTTACCAAAGATTGACAAACGTGACATATTTTTGTAGAAATGTAATTAGAGCTGGGATCTCTAGTATTGTGGATATCGAGATCAATGCTCGATTTAGATCATTTTTAATCTGCAGATTAATTTAATTCCTATTTGATTTCCGCTGTGTACCCCATGAAGAGATAACTTACATGAACAGATGAAGCATTGTTCCTCAAATTAAAAATTCCCACATTGGATATCGAGGTCATGAGTATTAAATACAAAAAATCCCAGCTCGGAAAGATTAGTAATATCAATAAAACTTTCAGAACGTATCTGATAAAGGTTCAATTCTGACATTTTCTAAAAACTTTTTTACTTAAATTTTGACAGCATCTTACAAAACACCACATAATGAGAATGTGTTTGGTAGTATAGAAATTTAATTTTCACTGCACAATTGTAAACTTCTGCTTAATTATTTGTTCTAACTTTGACATCAAACATATTTAGCTTTAAACCAAGCTTTAGTCTGTAGTTTTCTTACGGCACTTTTCAATAATTGCAACCTTTTTAAAATTTGTAATATCAGCAATTTTTACGAATTGGGCAGTCCTTTTACTTTGCAATATCAGACATTTTTACGAATTGGGCAGTCCTTTAACTTTGCAATATCAGACATTTTTACGAATTGGGCAGTCCTTTAACTTTGCAATA